AACCAACACATTTAAAAATTTTAATTGTAAACATTTGGTAGTTTGTCACAACTGGCCATTTCCTTTCAAAATGGTTTCTTCCTTTGGCTTTCCCTCTCTGTACTCTCCAGTTTCCCTATCACTCCTTTTCAGTCTCTTTTCTCAGATCTTTAAAAGCTGGAGTCTCATTTCCTTTACTCTCTCCCTAGAGGAGATTTCTAGGTATAGGATCTACAAGACCCTCTCTGACCACATCTACTCTCCTTCCTCTTGTTGATTCTCCTCCAGACACACTGGCCCCTTCAGTGTTCCTTAAACTTGTTAGGCAGAAATGAGTTTTGTAAATATATTGGTAAAACTGGTGAATTAGCTTTCAACAATTATTTGTCTGCTTCCCTGAGTTTACAGTTATGTATGTCATCTAGAAACATATAGCATAAGGGGGCAGGTTAGACAATGGACTCTTTCAGCTCAAACATGCTACTTAATATTGTGCCAAGTTTAAATTTGGCAAGAGCGTTTTCTTGAAAGGGAAATGCTTGCCTTTTCTGAGTATCATTCCTGTAAATGTCAATTCCTTATTTCCTTTCATTATCAATGTAGCAGACAGCTGATGTTCTGTGCATGAGAATTTTGTGGGTATTTGTTGGATTGCTTATTATGTGATAATTTGTTATAATCATACTGCAAAGAATAAGATGGAATGATTAGGGAATGAATTAAGAAACTAATGTGAATAGACATCCTATTTAGTTTGCTCTTTCAACTAAAAAAGCTGATACTGGTAACCACTTTAGGCTCGAGTCCTAACATTAAACATACGATGATTTCTCAGCTAGAACCTACAAAGGTTGAAGCAAAGAAGAAAATAAAGCAACCAAGTCAAACAAACTCCGGTAACACAGCTATGTGAAAGCTTATAGCAATCCTCACCAACGCTACCTTCTGTACTGATATATATTCTCATTACTGTGTTTTATCCCCACCTCCTTCTCTTAATTCTATTTTAAAAGCCAGGTAATATATTTCCATGGTTCAAAAAAATCAAAATGATACAGAAAGATACACACTGAGAAGTCTCACGCCCATCCCTGTCTCCATCCACCATTTCCATTGTTATTAGGGTGAAGGTAGGTGGCAGTCCACCAGACCACTCTCACTTCTGAATTACAAGTTCTGGGGTCCCAAAGACAACTCTCAGCTTTGATAATTCACTAGGACTCACAGAACTCACTGGAAGTTGTTATACTCTCAGTTATGGTTTATTACGGCAATAGAGATTAAAATCAGTCAAGGGAAGAGACACCTGGGGCAGAGTCCAGGAAGATCCACAGTGGGGCTTCCAGTTGTCCAGAGCTAACTTTCCTGGTAACAGTGTGTGACAATACGCACAGAATATTGCCTACTAGGAAGCTCACCAGAGCCTGGGTGTCCAGTTTGTGGTAGGGTTCAGTTGTGCAGATCTGGTTGGCCTCCCACATGGCTGAAGTCAGTCTCCAGCCCCTTCGGAGGTCAATTTCATATCACATGACCCAAAGCCCCCACCCTAAATCACATTGTTGGACTATCTAGGTTCAACAAAGAGGCTCTTATCAGATATCACATTCCAAAGGCTTAAAGATCGCTTCCCAGGAGCTGAGGAGGAAGGTCAGACTTCTCTTTGGTAAGACTAATTTTTTACTACACAATTAGTTTCTTTTTTCACCCTACTGCTGTCTCTTTATGGAAACACATATTCTAATCTTCCCCCCTTTTACGACAAGAGCATACTATATATTACCTTGTATATTTCATTTTTGTCTACTCAACCACGTATGCAACAATCTTTCTCTAACACTTGAGTATGGTCCTTCTCATTCTGTTTTACACCATAGCGTTCCACTGTGTCTTCTCTGCAATTGGGTTGCTGTCATTTTTTTTAACCGTTAAAACAATGTTGTGATCAATAATCTTGTGTTATAATTTTGTACATGGGTAGGTTGGATTTCAAGAAATGAGATTGCTACCTCAAGGAGTAACTACTTTTACAGGTATCGCCAGATTCCCCTTTGTGACGGTTAAGATTGTGTGTCAGTTTGGCTGGACCATGATTCTCAGTGTTTTGGCAGTCGTATAATGCTGTGATCACTTCCCTGTTGAGATCTGATATGTGATCACCCCCATGATGGGATCTGCTGAGTGGTACCGGCAGCGGTGGTGCCTGTGGTGGCTCACTGCCCCCTTAGCCTTCATCTCTCCACCCTCTGCCACCTAGTCCTTCCCGCTCTCTTTGCCGGGGGCTTTTGCTTGTTCTGGATCCTGCAGCTGGCTCTTGTTTATCGGACCTCTGGTTCTTGGGACTTGGGCTAGCAGCTTACTGCAGTCTTTCCTGCTGAACTTGGGTTTGCCAGCCACTGCAGCTACGTGAGTCAGCAGAAGCCTGCAACAGCCCTGCTTTCTGGCCTGCCCATCTTGGGTTCACCAGCCCCTGCAGCTATGTGAATCCAGAGAAACCTCTTTCCTGCCCCACGGACTTGGGACGTTACAGCCTCTAAAAACCACATGAGCCATTTCCTTGACATAAATCTCTCTCTTCCTATATATATTTATACACTTTACTGGTTTTGCTTCTCTATAGAACTCAGCCTAAGACAACCTCCATAGGACATTATACCTTTCTGTACTCCAAGCAATGCATGAGAGTGCCCATTTCTCCACAGCCTTGCCAACAGAGTATGTTATCAAACTTCTGGATTTTTTTCCAATCTGATAAGCGACAAATGATAGTTTAGTTTTAATTTACATTTCTCTAATTACAATCAAGATTAAACTCTTTACCCAAGTTTAAGGGACATCTGGTGAACTGTCTGTTCATGTCTTTGGCGCATTTTTCTATTGGGTTGTTGGTCTTCTCTTTTTAATATATGTCCCCATTGCCATTGAGTTTATTCTGACTCATGATGATCCCAAGTGTGTCAGAGTAGAATGGCACTCCATAGGGTTTTCAATGGCTGTAATCATGCAGAAGTAGATTGCAGTGCCACTGGATGACTTTGAACCAGCAACTTTCCAGTTAGCAGCTGAGTACAAACCATTTGTGCCACCCAAAGATCTTTTAATATATGAGAACTCTTTATGCAGTAGAGATTAGAATGGGCTAGATTTTCTCAATACATTACAGAATCACAGCTTTAAAATAGTCAAAGCAGTCATCAATGCCATCATTTACTGTTGCAGGAGTCCCATTTCCACTTAGGACAATTTTATTTTATTTTTCTGACTTAAAAGTAACATGTATTCATTATAGAAATACTGAAAGAAATTAAAAACTATCCACATTTCCACTTTCTTATATTCCTTTTCTAAGTACATGAAGAAAAAAAGAAACATCTTCCCCTGCCTCACTTCTTCTCTCCCAGAAGGAGTCATCAGTGAACATCAAAGTTTTGTTGCATATGCCCTTAGGTTTTTTTTCCCCATTAGCCCAATTTCGGCAGCTCTGGGTGGCTCAAACGGTCAAGCGCTAGACTACTAACTGAAAGGTTGGCGGTTCCTCGAAGACAGGCCTCTGGTGATCTGCTTCCAAAAGGTCACAGACTTGAAAACCCTTTGGAGCAGTTCTACTCTGCACACACGGGGCTGCCATGAGTCGGAGTCGACTCGAGAGCAACTAAAAATAGTCCAATTTAAAATCTACATGGTAGAAAATGTTTTATTTCAGTAATATCTTTTATGCTGTATTACTCATTACTCCACAAAGCAAGCAAACAAACAAAAATATAATCATATTTAAGGACTGAGATCTATGCAAACCTAATATTCTCTTTGGCATCAAGGTCATTTTAGAACAGGGCCTGCTGAGAGGACCCAGGAAGCATAAGAAGTCTGCTTACCCTATTTGGTAATCAGCCACAACCTCAAAATATTAGATTACAGTTGCATTCTCTTTGACTCTTCCAAACTAAGCTCTTGGTTAAAAGTAGTTTCACTTCCAGTTAGTAGCACAACACCAAACACAACAACAACAAAATACACGAACACGTTGGTAATTTTGTCAAATTTATATTTTGAAGTAAAAATTCAGAATAACACATTTTTACAAAATTGTCACATAGCAACAACCTTATCATTACATTCTATATTTACTTACAAAAAATACAGACCTAGTAAAAATTAATAGCTGTCATTTGTAAATGTAAGTTTCTTTCTTCAAGCAAAAAGAAAGCTAACTAGAAATGTCAGACTGAAAGCCACAAACAGGATGATGCAGTGATGGCTCAACACCTCTGTGGAAGGGAGGCTGCGTGCTGTGCTGTTCCTCCTCTCTGGCCTTCAGCTACCTCATGCACCAAAAGAGATGCTCAGACTGGATGATTTCTAAAGTCCCGTGGCTGTGGTCCTTTAGATGTTACCACTGTTTTCTTTTGATTGTAAACTTCAACAGAAAATAATTTAGTGTGCTAAAAATTTTACTACAAAGAGTACTATGATTTTTACTATGACTCTCACCACCTTTGGAAAATTTCTATTTTAGAAGCTTCTGATTTGGTTCACTTACTTGGAGATTCCTGCCTTGGAAGCTATCCCCCGCGTACACCTATATAAAAGCTGGCAGTCCTTTTCTGAAGCCGTAGTCTATGGCTCTGCCTTCTTCACAAAGGCTACGCAGTGTCTGCTCAGGATCAAACCGCCTTCACTCTGATCACCAAGTGTCCAGCTAACTGATTTATTACTCTTTCCTTACATTCCATTGTTTATCATACAAGTTGTACTTTGGTATGTTTCTCCAGAATTTCTTCAGTTTATGCTGCTAAAAATGAAGCATGAAGTTTGAGGTTTTTACATAACAGCTTCTCAGGTATTTTGCTGGTATGTGAAACAATTAATTTGCATAGGGACAAATGACAGGATACTTATGCTGATAGATCAGCTGCGTCTCAGCACCTAATAGCTGTAATTCTGTCCCTCCATTTAACATTGCATTTGGCTTTAAAAGAGTCAACTCAGCGTGCTCACGCTCTCAAATAAAATTTCTAGTTTCTTTTTCAGTATTAAACATGATTTTTTTTTTTTTTTAACCACAAAGACATGCTCAGGACAAAACAGTACAAAACCACGAACTCAGGTAAATGTGCTAAAACTGCAATTAACCAGTTTTAAAAGTAAAGATCTTTACAGCCAAATAGATGGGCTTATAAAATAAACAATATCAGCCATGAGTAATGTGCTCCCTTAGACAATTAACTATATGAGACCAAACGATCAACAGCTACCCAAAAGCAAAGATGAGAAGGCAAGGAAGGGAAGGAAAGCTAGATCAATGGAAACAGAACAAACAGAATGAAAATAATGAGAATGCTGACACATCATAAAAATTGTATCCAATGGCACGGAATAATTTGTATAAAAATTGTTAAAGGGGAACCTAATTTGCTGTGTAAACTTTCACCTAAAACACAATAAAATATTATTAAGAAAAAAAAAAGTAAAGGTCTTCAAACCTTTGATCATGCCAGTAGATCCTTAAGTTCTAGGATATATTATTACACATCATCATTTCTATAGATTGAGAAAAACTAAAACCCATAGTCTTAAGTGGGGCATACTATTAGAATTCATTACTCCAGTGTGTAACTTTTTCATAATTACTTGAAAATTCATAGCATAGTATCACTCAAACTTGATAATTATGAGAGTTGTAAATTTACGATCATTTCCTCTCATAACAATTACAACATTATCCATTTTAATTTATTCCTAATTAAATTCGATTTCATCTACCTGATTTTGAGTTTGAGGTAGCTTCACGGGGGTTCTATTGCTATGAAAATGGTATGTTTCAAAAAGCCATCTGAAGTATTAGACTTAAATAAAAGAGGGAAATACAGTATGAGTTATACCATTTTCTCACTTGGCTTACAATCTAAAAAACCAACCATTTCTTCACTGGTTAAAATACAGTTCCTTTGTAAGCATGGACACAATGCACGGAATCTGCTTCTTTGCATGAAAAGTAGAGTCAGGAGAATAGGACTCAAATTCTGTTGCAACCTTCCAGTTAACCCGAGTGAGGATGCGCATGAGCTCAAGTTTGTGAGCATACTGTTTCAGCATAGCACAGAGTGACTGGATAAACCAGGAGCCATCCTTTGAATTTCGCCAGGAGTAGTAACCTACAAGGCAAAATGTTACCAAAATGCCATGGGTTTCTACAAATTATTATATAACAACAAAGGTAAAAATATGAAGGAACTCCCATAGGTCTTGTTAGCAATAAAAAGAAAAAAATAAACGACACGTTTGGTTTCAGGGGGAATGATGCTGGAGGTGAAAATAATTGTCCTGTGTGCACATCTTGCTTTCAGCGAAGAAAAAGAATTGTGGACTAATTCTACCATTCAATTACTGAGAGTTCTACTTTCTGGGCTCCCCTTCCAATAGGGAAGAATAAGTAAACATGCAGAAGATAAGAAGATACAGAAGCAGAGATACTTAAAAAGGATCATTATAAATAGCATGGTGTTTCAATCAGATTTTAATTTTGTTTTAACATTGGCTTATCCAAGAAATAAATTGCTAATGCATGCATAAATGTGTGTGCTTTTAATTTGTCTACAAGGTGCCTGGAAAAAGTCCAAAAAGGGAAAACAGTGTATTCACTCCACTTTTGCTCAGATTAACTATTGGACCCATTGCTTTAAATTTAGAAGTATTTTACCTGGAGGTTAAAGGAAACTATATTAAGCATATCTGAAAATATAACACTCTGTATAAAAATACATTTATTAGGTACAGGGTATCTTTTTGGGGTGATGAAAAAGTTCTAGAACTAGATAGTGGTGATGGCTGCACAACACTGTGAGTGTACTTAGTGTCACTAAATTGTACACTTTAAAATGTTTGGCTAAAATGGTGAATTTTGTTAGGTGTATCTTACCATGATAAAAAAAAATTTCTTCAGCATGAAATGCAGAAATTCACAATAAAATGGTGACTCTTATGCAGTGTATCTTACTATAGTCAAACTTTGTGACACCCTAAATTAGTTGTATGGTAAATAGTCGTATGACCAATAAATACTCATTTATACAACGGCATGTGCAATACAACCACAAAAAAGGGGAGGTTAATATAGAATATATTGCTGTTGTTAGGTACCCTTGAGTCAGTTCCCACTCATAGTGATGCTATAGGACAGAGCAGAACTGCCCATAGGGTTTCCAAGGAGCAGCTGGTAGAGTTGAACTTCTAACTTTTTTGGTTAGCAGCCAAGCTCTTAACCACTATGCCACTAGGACTCCTTTAACAGGATATATATATATATGTGTATAATTTTTTTAACCTTCTTTACTTCTTTTCCCCCATTCTACTTTTACCGCTCTCTTATACTATTCATGCTTATCTTTTTTAGTTGCTATCTTCCAAAGATTTCCTAGAAAACATACTTCCTTCCTATTTCAAGAAGTAGATAAAGTTTTTAGCCTATGTTACAGTATAGTATACTATCTGATATAAAGCTCATGAATGGGACTGTGCTAGTATGCTAAGATAAACACACATACACAAACGTGTGTGTGTATATATACATACATACACACACACATTTTTCTAGTCAAACTTTTGGCTAGAGACAATTTTTTGAGACTTCTCTGTAGTTAAGGCACACTATAATACAGATGAATTAGCTGTTCTTCAGGGACATCACTCTTGACAGCCTTTTTAACACACTCTTCATTGTTTAATTCTATAATAAATCATAGTAATTAATTTGAAACCTACATATAACATTTATTATTTATAACTTTCTTACCAGGTGCTGTAGAATACGCATATAAGAAGTCTGCTTCAACTGGTATTTTCTGACATGTCATGTCTTCATCAAAACCACTGTCTGTCTCAATGCCACAGTCCAAGTCTGTACCTCTGCAGGCCTGAACGTTAGAAAATAAACATTAAAAAAATGTGTATGCATTTTTCTAAGAATTACAAATTATTTCTAAGAAATGCAAAGACTGCGTAAAAATTGATGTTAATTATGCTGATACTTTTTGTTACGTCTAAATTAAAATTTATTCCGTATCTCCTAATTGATGATTTAAATGAAGAAAAAAGTAACAATAATTCAGTAGCCTCCAGGAAAAAATAAATTCTTTGGCTATTCTACAACTGAGTAAATTAATCACTGACCAGTCCTCAATAGCAGTCCCTGGGTAGTGCAATGGTTATGGTGTTTGGATGTTAAGCGAATAGTTAGCGGTGAGTCTATCCAGAGGCACCTTGGAAGAAAGGCCTGGTGATCTACTTCTGAAAAATCAGCTACCGAAAACCCTACGGAGCATAGTTCTACCTGACACACCTGACATCGCCATGAGTCGGAATCAACTCAATGGCCACCAACAACAATCCTCAATAACCAAGTTGACTTTAGCTCAGTTATACAGTACCTGAATAATGAAAAGTTTGGGCTTTCCAGTTAGACTTCTACAATTATCTCCTCTAAAGAAAACTGTTAATTTTTTCAGGTCAACAGGTCCATTTGTTCCAAAAATAACTCCTTCATCACCATGGCTTAGCAGCACACAAATAAAACTGCTCCTTTTGCTATGATCTTCTTCAGAAACTTGAAAGACGTTTATCAATAAGAAAAAAAGAAGTGCAATTTATTCAGTAATCTCAGATATACTGTACAGGGACAAGATGAAGAAACTGAACTAAGAGATCACCTAAATCCAACTTGGGGCAAAGTGAAATACCTGAAAGCGTTTTAAGGAGTTGGCATGAATAAAACTTTTTTTTTAATTCTTAGTAAGATATGTAAGATTAGGACTACATACAGTATAATTCTACAATTCTCATACTTTATTATATGCATAATTACAGCTAGGCCATAATATAAAATTGGACAACAAAGGTCATTTTTTGAATTTTCTTACCATTGCGCATCAATTCCAAAATTTCTTCACGTGTAAGATCGTTTTTATTCCTGACTTCGTATTTCAAGTTCCTGAATGTTTCCCTGAGGTTTGCAGCATCTACATCTGTACCAGACCGAGATGCCATTGCTTGGAACAGAAAGAATACTTTTAGATGCATTTAAAAAAAAAGAATAACTGCATTGAAATGAAAGGAACTACTCAATGACAAACACAATCCATAATAAATCTATCCTTTCAAATGCTAAGAATATTCTAATTATTCTGATCACGATAATACAAAGTCTCTTTAATTTCTTGGGATATAAAAACAGTTCATAATATAAGCTGTATCAGTGTTACAGCCAAAGATACTTTTAGAACTGGGTAGTGAGTGAAAAACTGCAACAACTTAAATGCCTACCAGTAAGTGTTTGCTTAAATTATGATTCATTTACATAATGGAATACTACATTGCCATCTCGTAGACAACATTTTGCCATGGGAAAAATGGTCATTGTTAAAAAAAAGAAAAAAGACTAGAAGATAACATGGTCCTATTTTTGTTTTAAAAAATTATATAGATATCTATCTATCTATCACATACATACACACCCATATCTCACACATACAGAGGAAGTATACATCCTTGACTCTAAGTCTCCAACAATCTTAAGATACATTACTAGTTTCATAATATCTTTTTGGGACAAAAATAAAAAATAAAACACTACCACATTAATACTGTTCACCAAGCATTCTGCTATGGGTAACTTCCTTTAATCCTTCCAATCATCATAAGATAGTTATTATTATGTCCTAGCTCATTTGTACAGATGTGAGAACTCCAGCATAAAGGAGTTAAGAAACTTCTCCAAAGTAACAAAGCTAGTGTCAGACTCGAATCCAGGGATCCTGGGCTTTTTCGCTCTCCTTTATAGTACCGTCAACATAAATGTACATATCGACTGCATGATGCACCGGTTATCTCAAAAATGCTAAAACGTGGGGTGAATTTAATATGTATGAATAGAAAAAAGACTATCTATACCTCTAAAATATTGTTGCTTATCTCTGGGTAGTCTAATTTTCATTTTGCTAATCTCTCATTGCCAAAATTTCTATTACATATTATTTTTATAAAAATTAAAAACATCCTGTAGGTTTTGACACTAGGAAGCCTGAGAACACCATGTAGCTGTGTGACAAGGTGACTGATTTCTAGTGCCAGTTTCTGAGCACCTTAGAACAGAAAATACCAGGCTGCCAGAGATGGCTGTGAGAACCTCACCTTCTAATTTCAAACCAGAAAACCTCACTTAAAAGCAAAAGCCAACTATGGGTCTAAATATTTTGGGCGGGTTGGGGATGAAAATATCAGAACTAATACTGTAAGACAGAATATCTAGAAATAAATTTTTAAAAACTAAGAAGGAAAAAATGTGTCTTGTCCTTACTTAATCATTAGAGGTGGTATCTCAGCATATAGCCAAAAGCAATACAAATGGACTTATTCAAGTTTAGAGACCTATTTTCAGCTATTCTCTTCCCACTCGTAATAACTAATCTCAAAAACAAATGCTGCTTATCTTTCCAGTGTATTCTGGCTTCTTTCCACTTTCACAACCATTCTGGATCTGAACTCCTGACTTCTGGATTACCTCAGGAGCCTCATAATTAGATTCACTTCCTCTAGTTTTTCAAATTTAAAATTAATTCTAATATGATTAAAATACTCATTCAAAGGATCAGTATACCATTACTGTAAAAGTCAAAACAGGGGAAGAGTCAAAACTTTCATTTATATGGTAAATTATATAAGTTAAGCTGATGATATATTTATGGAATGAAATATTATATAATCATTAAAATAACAGATATGGGAGGTGAGGCCAAGATGGTGGAGTAGTCAGATGCTTCCTGTGGTCCCTCTTATAACAAAGACTCGAAAAAACAAGTGAATCAATTATATATGATAATCTAGGAGCCCTGATCATCAAAGGCGAAGCTGAGGAATTGGACTGAGTGGCAGGGGGAGGGAGAGATGGTACAGAAGCAGTGAGGAGTTGCCAGACCTGACCTGGCAGGAGCCGGCGCCCTTCAGGCCAGATTAGCTCGTGTGCGCGGTGAGGCAAGCAGTGTCGCTTGGGAGGTGTTTTCGACGCTGGGACAGACTCAGCAGCAGAGAATGTACTCATTCGGGCATCCAAAACCAGTGAAAAGCAACACTAAATTGACAACAGAGAAGTACTTGTGTCTGGCCTACCACACGGATCAACAACACCCCCTCTGAGAAAAACCTCACTCCCATTTACCTCTCCCTTCCCTGCTCTGCACTGGGTCCCGGGGCGACTTCAGTGATTGCCTAGTCTACTGGGCCGGAAGTAGGACCCATCAAGCGCTCTGAGCCATTCTCCTGGCCTTGGAGAGGGAACAAATTAACAGAGAAAAATAATCTGCTGGCTCCCCTAAGCCAGGAACTCATGGTAAGCACAGCTCCTTTGCCTAGGAACAGGCATAAGGGGTCCACGGTCTCTGAATGCCTTTCAACCCTGCATAGACCTATGTGAGCCCATTTCAACAGCACAGGTACTCATTACCACAGTACAACAGGGTATATACCTGAAGTCTAACTTCAACTACCTCAGCTATATGGTGAAGTGGCAGGTGCATGACATTTGACACTGCTTTGCCCATTAAGCAGGGTCCTCACCTACACACATCAGGGGCCAGAGGACTGGTGGCTCCACTCACACCACCTAGCCACTCGTGCCAGGTGTCCAAGAATAAGTGGTGCCTTCCAGTATTTAAGGCCAACAGCATTGGGTGCTCCTAGTCTGGCTATAAAACCCACCCACCTATGCACCATAGGGAACAGGGACATGCTTTCCTCCCAGACACTCTGGGGCAGCCATCAGCTCCCTGCCTTGCTTGGCACCTGACCTCCTACTGTAGCCAGATATCTGTGCCTACACCAATTACCCATGCCTGTCTAGGACTGTAGCTGAGAGGCTGCACCACACACTTGGTGACCAACTACCTGGACACCTGAGCTGAATCCATACAAGAAAAGTCAATGGACTTCTGGGCTAACATACTTAGTAACAGATCTAACCACCTGGTGACAGGACAATAGAGCTTCAAAGACGCCAATAATAAAAGTAGCTTATACAAGCAGCCTATATGGGCATATCAAAACAAAACAAAACAAGAAGCTAGGACACAGTAAGCAAACATAAAACAAACAAATATAACTTATTGCTGGCTCAGAGACAACAGTCAGTATCAAATCACATAAAAAGACAGACCAGGATGGCTTCAGCAGGCTCCCAAAATAAAGAAGAAATTCCGGAAAAGAATTTCTTGAAATTACTGGAGGCAGAATACAAAAAAATTAATATACAGAACTCTTCAAGAGATCAGGAAGGAGTTCCAACAAAACGAAGACCAAGTGAAGGAACACACAGACAAGTAACAGGAACTTAAGAAAGTTACTCAAGAGCATAATGACATATTTAACAGGCTGCAAGAATCCATAGAGAGACAACAATCAGAAATCCAGAATATTAAAAATAAAATTTAAGATTTAGACAACGCAACAGAAAGTCATAGGAGCACAACTGAGGCAACGGAGGTCAGACTTAGTGAGAGTGAAGATAAAGCACTCGACAACTACTTATTTGAGGAAAAATCAGATAAAGAATTTTAAAAAATGAAGAAACTCTTAAGAATTATGTGGGACTCTATCAAAAGGAATAACCTACAAGTGACTGGAGTACCAGAATAGAGGGGATAACAGAAAATACAGAGAATTGCTGAAGATTTGTTGGCAGAAAACTTCCCCGATATCATGAAATTATGAGAAGATATCTACCCAAGATGCTCATTGAACCCCACATAAAGTACATCCCAAAAGAAAGTCACCAAGACATATTATAATCAAACTTGCCAAAAGCAAAGACAAAGAGAGAATTTTAAGAGCGGCTACGGATAAAGGAAAAGTCATCTACAAAGGAGAGCCAATAAGACTAGGCTTGGACTACTCAGCAGAATCCATGCAGGCAAGAAGGCAATGGGATGGCATATATAAAGCCTTGAAGGAAAAAAAAACTGCCAGCCAAGAATTATATATCCAGCAAAACTGTCTCTCAAATATGATAGTGAAATTAGGGCATTTCCAGATGAACAGAAGTTTAGGGAATTTGTAAAAACCAAATCAAAATTACAAGATATACTAAAGGGAGTCCTCCGGTTAGAAAATCATTAACATCAGATAACAACTCAAGCCTAGAACACAGGACAGAACAACCAGATAACCTTGACAGGGAAGTCACACAAATAAATTAAAGCTAAAACACTGAAAATAGGGAAACAGAGATGTCAATATGTAAAAGATGACAACATTAAAACAAAAAAGAGGGATTAAAAAATGTAGTCATAAATTTTTCATATGGAGAGGAAATCACGGCAATATAAAGAAATAAAAGAGTGCTTTAAACTTTGAAAAAATAGGGGTAAATATTAAGGTAATCGCAGAGGAAGCTAACAATTCTACACATCAAAATAAAACACAAGAAAAATATAAAGACTAAGCAAAAACAAAATCAACAACAATGAAAAAGATGAAAAGAAAATACATAAAGAAATACGACTCAGCACAGAAAACTAAGTGTAACAAAGAAACTGTCAATAACACACAAAAAAAGACATCAAAATGACAGCACTAAACTCATACCTATCAATAATTACACTGAATGTAAATGGACAAAATGCACCAATAAAGAGACAAAGAGTGGCAGAACGGATAAAAAAACACCATCTGTCCATATGCTGCCTACAACAGACACACTTTAGACTCAGACGCAAACAAACTAAAACTCAAAGGATAGAAAAAATATATCAAGCAAACAAAACTCAAAAAAGAGCAAGAGTGGAAACATTAATCTCCGACAGACTTTAAAGTAAAATCTACCACAAAGGACAAGGAAGGACACTATATAATGATTAAAGGGACGATCCAGCATGAAGACATAACCATAATAAACGCCTATGTGCCCAATGACATGGCTCCAAAATACATAGAAAAAACTCTAACAGCATTGAAAAGAGAGATATACAGCTCCACAATAATAGTAGGAGACTTCAACACA